GCCCTAGTGTTGTTTTTTCGGGCGCGTCCCAGCGTTTTTTCCCGCTAGGTAACCCCGGGCGTGTCATCGACGCCGCCTTAGTGTGTTTTTTCGGGCTCGCGTAGCCTTGGGTGCGTTACGCCGCCCTAGCATTTTTTTTCCGCGCGGTCTAGCGCTTTTCGCGTAGCCTTGGGCGCGTTCTTGACGCCGCCCTAGCGTTTTCCGCGCGGTCTAGCGCTTTTCGCGTAGGGCGCGAACGTCGCGATTAGTCGCGCCATCGAGGCGACTCGCGTTATTGACAGGATGTTGCGGTTTGTCTGTTTTCCATAACGTCCCGATTAGGCGCGCCGTCGAGGCGACTCGCGTTGTTGACAGGATGTTGCGGTTTGTCGCGTCGCTCTAGTCGTGTCTGTTTTCCATAACGTCGCGATTAGACGCGTCTCGCACGTCGCGATTAGGCACGTCTCGCGTCCGTGCGTTTTCTGCGGGGCTTAGCGCGTCCTGTTTGTGGTTTGACGTGTTTTTTACGTCACTTTAGAGAGTATTTAACTAGGAGTGTCGACGATATATTATTAGTAGTTTGCGAGATGGAGAGTCAATCTAATGTTTCGGAGAGTCAGTTTAATGTTTTGGAGAGTCAATTGAAGGATCCAGAGATAATATCGCTCTTAGAAGATTCGTTCGAGTTTTCGAGAGAGATGGAACGCGAAATAGTGGAACGGGAGAAACACGCGATGACGATGGGGCGTGAGAAACGGCCTACGATCGAGGGAAGAGGATAACGAGACATCGGTGGAGGTCGAGAGCGATGCGGTCGACTCGCTCGAGTTGATGCGCGCGATGTGGACATCTATGCATTCGACGTCGTGTAATTTGCGGCTAATGATGGCGTTTTTGTCTAAACATCTGGCGATTCATCGAGGAACGGAGCCGATCGCGCGTATACGCGAGGCTGAGCGTATGAGGAACGCTATACGTATCGTTACTGATATCTGGAGTCGAAAGGGTCCGTGGAACTCGTACTGCTCTGGGGACAGTATGGTTCGCTTGGTCGAGAGTTCCGCGACGCCGGACGAGCGTGCGTCGCTTATGGAGATCGAGATAACGAAGGAGGCTTCTTCGAATTGGATAAAAGATTACTGGGAATATCTAGCGCGTTTAAAAACGACGAAAGGGGATCTCGACGACGAGTACGAGAAATATCTTGCGCGAATATCACGAGAGGGAATGATGAGATTGTGGCAATGGTTTAGACGCATTGTTCGCGTCTCTATCTGGAGATAAGGTGGAGACTGATCGATTCGTTCAGTATGTGACGAAGTTGCAGGGTGGACGACAGCTCGAGGCGAGATCTCCGGGCGAGAAAGGAATCGATTGCGAATTGGTTCGAATGTACGTGTACAATGTCAAGGATATAGTTAAAAAAAGAAACGCAACTGATGGAAGTATGCGAAATTGAGAGTTCAATTTTTGAACTCCGTGTCGGATCGGAAGAAGCAGTTGATAGATCGAGTCGCCGATGATCTGAGGAAAGTACCCGGAGTACGCGGGGAGGCGAGAAGCGTCGAGTGCGACAGCGAGTAGAATGTATCGTTATGACGTTCGCAATATGTATACTAATATTTCTATGTAAAAAGAATATATGGTATTAATATGTATACTAATTGAATATATGTATAAGAATATATGTATAAGAATATATGTATAAGAATATATGTATAAGAATATATGTATAAGAATATATGTATAAGAATATATGTATAAGAATATATGTATAAGAATATATGTATAAGAATATATGTATAAGAATATATGTATAAGAATATATGTATAAAAATATATACACGAATATATAAGAATATATACGAATATATGTGTAAGAATATGTACACGAATCTATGTGTAAAAGTGTGCGTAAATATGAAAATTATCGTAGGAGTATTAATAAGAAGATAATATTTTTATTGGAAATGTGAATGTTGTGCGATGCGTCATTTTTCGCGCTCGCTACGCGTGACTACGGGAAGTCTGACCGCAACGGCGATAGAAGATTAGTCAGTTTATTGTTTATTTCTTCGTTTTATTTTATTGCTATTTTATCGTTGTCATGCTTTTATTTTTGTTCTCTATTGTGTACTTTTGTTCTCTATTGTGTACTTTTGTTCTCTATTTTGTATTATGACTGATATTGCGTATGGGATCTTTAGCGAGATCGTCATTCGTTGGTGTGTAATCGCGCTACTTATATTTGGATTCGTTCGACGAGAATAATCTCACGCGATACAGAATAGAAATTAAAGCGATTTTAATTTCTGATTCGCGACTCGGATCGATTCATCGCGTCGGTCCTCGCCCTCTCGCGACCGATGGTAACATCGATCGAACGGTTCGCGCGTATTTTGGTCGGCGACGCGCAGTGTCGATTTGACTTCTGTCTCGCGCGATGACGCCCGCCCGTGGAATCGCCGTGATCGCGTGCGCGATAGCCGTTATCGCGGCGATTCGCGACTCCGTTGCCAACAGCGATTCCGTTGCCAACAGCGACGAGGAGGCGATTCGGTTTTTGCAAACCTACGGATATCTGGATGGTGATAACGTGCAAACGATAACGCGACGTTGGCTCTGAGACACGCGACACATTGCGCTTTTTCAGGAGTATTATCGTATACCTGGTGATGGTGTTCTTAACGAAGCTACATTGGAACACATGTAAACCGCGATGCGGTGTCAAAGATATATTACATGACTTGGACGATTCTCCGAGGAAATGGGCGAAGACGCATCTCACTTGGAACTTTCATCTGGCGAGCGAGAGCGTTCTACTAGTCACCGAAGTCGCGTTCGAAATGTGGGCTGCGAATTCATCGCTGACGTTCGAGCGCAATTCAACGAATTCCGATATCGTGATATCGTTTCGGAAAGGTTTTCACACGTTTGTAGATCCTCGGCATCAAGGTAGCCGAATATGTCCGTCGTTGTTGGACGGACCGGGAAACGTGTTAGCTCACGCTTTTTTACCATCGTCAGAAGTGTCAGAGGTGCACGCGGAGAAGTGGCACATCGAGTTAACTGTTAATCCTGACGATACGATTCATCTGTTGCATACGTTGACGCACGAGATCGGTCACGCATTAGGATTACATCACAGTCCTTTAAAAGATGCGATAATGTACGCTTTTGTTCCCTCTAAGATCTTTCCCATGCGATTGAGCGAGGCGGATGTTCTCGCCATTCAGAATTTATACGGTTTAAGAAATAAGAGCGAAATTGCGGGACCAATTACGACGACCGTAGCGACGACCACGATTGCGACGCGCGATACGGGGAATTCCGCGGATCTGTGCGCGTTGCGACGCGTCGATGCGGTGTTGATATTAGAAAATAGAATATATGTGACGTATCGACATTACTTATGGTCGGTCGATCTAAACGGAAAATCTTACGGTAGGTCGTTGTTACTGACGGACTATCTGCGTTTTCTTCCCGATAATTTTACGCGTTTGGCGGGTGCGTATCGACGACCTTCGGGCCAACTCGTATTGTTTGTTGACAATACGGTTTATATGATAGAATATCCGAGTTTTGAGTTAGTACCGGGTTGGCCGAGGAAATTGAAAGATATGAATCTTCCTCCTAATGCGAAAATTAATGCTGTGATTAATACTAACGCGGGACGAACGTTCGCGATCTACAACGACGAGATCGTGGCCGAGATCGACGATTGCTCGATGATAGCCGTCAGGCATAATTCGTTGCACGCGATATTTCCTGGGATTCCACCTGCTGTAACGTTCGCCGTTCGATACATCGACGGTAATCTGTACTTTTTTGTTAAACGACAGTTCTTTAAATATAACGAATTTACTAGAAGTGTAACTATGGCCGGTAAATTTGATTCGGAGATTTTTGGTATCGTGTATCCAAA